TGAGAGCTGGGCTTGCCTGCTGAATAGAGAAACTATGTCTGAACACCACAGGAAAACATGTAATGACACAAACTGGCATTCTCCCACCAACAGCTGCTCCTGTGATTGTGTGCATGTGAATTCTCAGGAGTCTTCACTCTTTTGTTCATGTTTTTTTTTTTTTTTGGTTGTAATTTCTGTCTCTGCTTTTGTTTATTTCTATTTTATACATTATTTTCACATATACTTCTCTGCTATAAGTGTCTGTGTATGAGAAGGGCAGAAGTGTAAAAACCAGTGGTGGACAAAGTATTTATGTCTATAAGTAAAAGTAGTGATAATACAGTGTAAAATAAACAAAACAAAGCAAAAAAAAAAAACCTGTTATAAGTAATAACTGTTATAAATAAACTGTTGAGCAGTTTAATCTGTAATAGTGCATCATATTTTAAAGGCCCCTTTTATGTTTTGTTTGTAAATCATATTTGTAGCAGAGCTAATAATTACATCTGATAAATAAATGTAATGGAATAAAAAGAACAACATTTCTCTTTGAATTTTAATGGAGTAGAAGTATGAACTGTCCAGGTACTGTATAAAATCTATAGTACTTCAGTAAATGTACTTTGTTACTTTCCACCACTGGTGGAAACACAAGCAGAGGAGAGAGAATGAGGAGGTCTGTGTGTGTGTTAAGTATTTTTATTTTATGCTACTTTAAATAGTATTTCTAGATTTCAGAGGGAAAGGTTACTTTTTATTTCACAGTGTATCCGAGAGACATAAAAAGCACATGATCAATTTATAAAATTTGATGAGTTTTTAAGATTAAACTGCCCAGCAATAAAGTATGCATATGCAACTTTAAAATGCACTAAAATGGATCCAGTAATTTAATATATCATAATGTAACTCTGACAAGGGCTTTATTGCTCTATAATGAGTACTTCTACTTTTGATATTTTAAGTATATTTTAATATGTCTGTACTTTTACTTGAGTGAGGTTTTATGTGCAGGACTTTGTTAGAATTATAATGGAGTATTTTTACACAATGGCATTTTCTATTTGTACTTAAGTAAAAGATGATAATAATAATATAATATTTCCTTTTTATACACATTTCCCAAAGATTTTGCTTGTTATGCATGTATTTGCCAGTTTAATAGGTACACCAAGCTAAAACAAGTGCAGTTTAATGGCCTGGTTCCCAAAGTAAAGGGCCAAAGGTGCTGCAAGATTTATTTCAGTTTGTCTTACTACATATATCTATTAATGTATTTTTTTGGTATTTTAATGGTGAAGAAGTGGTAGAAAATGAGACCAAAAGATGCAACAAAATTTCTGGACATGAATGAGGAATAGTTTGGTTCATAATCAGCATTTTAGAGCCTGCATTAGACTGTATCATTTATAGCTAAATGTTCCTATATCATCTGAGTGTGTTTGGTACGTTTGAGACCTTGCGATGTTGAATAGACTTTAAATTAATTTATAAACTGTAGAACAAGGGTTAATGTACTGTCGGTCACGGGAACCACCGTACTTTGATACTTGTAGTTTGCTTGGCCTCAGTGCATATGTGCAACATCTCTGTGACTGGTGTGGTTATCATGTGGTCTGCTGCGGTTTTGGGGGTTGACCAGAAAGTAGATGCAGCCTGCCAGTCGTGCATTAAGAGCTGAGGCTGATTCAACTGTCAAATAAGATGGAGCGGCTTTCTACCCTGCCAGTTTAAGCTTGCCATGGCTGACGAGCAGAGCAGCTGACTGAAAGTGCAGCGTCACTCTTCCTTATGTGCTAACAAACTAAATGAATCGTTCAGTCCACCAGCTGCAGACAAGCCAGTCTAGCTCCATTTCACAAGGAAAACAGTGTGCAAAAGAGCTGATCTAATTGAAAACACAAATCAGAGGCTCATTAAAGCATATTACCTTTATTTTAGATATACATACAGTGTAAACAACTATTTGAGGTCAAAGATCATTTGGCATTTAAACACAACATGATCAGTTGTCGGAAAAGTTCAGCAGCTATGGAGACATGTTGGTGTCTGTAACACAGGCTGGTGTGGGCAGCAGAGGACTTTTAGAAAGACTTGCTGCTGTCTCGATGGTGTGGTGTCCAAGCAGGCCACCCACCGGGAAAGAGGGACTGAGGAATGCTTTTTGCTGGATTACTTGTCTTGTCGGCCCCCTCCTTCCTCCTCAGACCTACAGTGTTGCTGTGTGTGGACATTGTCAGAAGTGCCATTACATACATTACCTGGAAGAGAGGAGTGTGTATGTGAGGACGGCATGTAGTTTTTAGCTTCCTCGTTGACAGACTATTCAAGTACAGAGTGTAGAAGGTCTTTAGTTTTGTTTTTCTCACATGATTAGTTGATTAGATAAAAAAAGGAGATAAAAATATACTTATTTCTAGTCAACCTTCAGGCTGAGCACTGTGAGTTTATCACCACTGGGGGATGCTTTACTTCTAGTTGAGTAGCAGTGTGAGTGAGACTCAGGCAGATAGCTGGCACGGTTTCATAAACATTTAATAGGAGACGCCCTGTATCCACAATGCCTGCCTGCACACATATGACAATGCCAGTTACTGTATTTTGTGGTTGGCTTAAATGTTTGTAGATTTATCTCACCTGCAACCGGTCAAACAAAGTGCAGGCTGTGTCTATATTTGCTGTGATCAGTGGAGTGACAGGCCACAGGGTGTGTGACTGTGAGGATGACATGCTCTGATGCTGTTCAAAAGAGCTGGCTGGCTTAGTTTGCTGCAGGACGTTAGAGCAGCCCCTCTATACTGGATATGTCAACATGACAGAGCAGTGTGTGTTCATGTGTGCGAGGGAGAGCAGGGGTTAAACTGTGTGCATGAAGAGAGGGTGTAGCCAGATTGACTGGTGGTGAGAGATAATGGGTGGGGACCAAAAGGTTTCACCGCTCGCCTGATGTTAACTGACAAACAGTTATAACCTGAGTTACTTTATGAGATTGTCACGATTGGAAGGTTCCTCCTGTCTGAAACAGCAGTAAATATTCCTGTTAATGTTATAGTACAGAATTTTACAATCGTGTTGGCTCGACTTTCACAACAGCATTTCAGTGTGCAAAACTATCACTAAGAAACCTCACAATAAATAAAAGTAAAAACTGTTAATTATCAAACAAGATCAGTATTTTTGCATTATGTACTATAGTTGCTATAGTCCTTGGAGAATTTATTTGATATATAAGCGGTAATAACTGTGCAACCTACACAGACATGCAATAGAAAAATATAAAAGAAGAATTTCCTTTGCAAAAGAAAAATATTTTGTGGTTTTTAAGTGATTAGCAATTTTCTACAATTGGGCTTATCGGATCTAACTACATTTACAAATCCACAACTTGCCAAGTCAGATAAAAGGTAAAAAAAACAAAACAAAAAAACATTAAATATAAATAATTAAGAGTTAAGATGGCGAGACATGTTTTAGTATTGAGGCAGCCAAAAGCAAAACTGCCAAAATGTTGATCTCTAAAATAGAAATTTAAAAAAATTGTATGTGTAGCACTGCGACCAACAGTTCTTTCATTATTTACTAATTGCTTTTATGTGTTACTAATAATCACCATTTAGTCCATGGAAGGAAAGAAAATAATGGAAAAAAACACTTGAAACCTGAAAATCTTTGGATTTTTCTTTTTACACTTTGTAAGGAAATGGTTTTGCATTTAAAACTAAGACTTTAGCAAGTCAGTCTGATATTAAGAGTTTTGCACTTTGAAAACAACATTGTGAAAAATTCTGTAATACATCATAACAGTCTGACAATACACAAAAGAAAAAATGTTTTGTAGTTTTTGTGAAGTGAATAACAGTTGCAATGTTGCAGTGATGCTGTTAGAATAGGGAGAAATGCTTGCAAACACATGATCGAGTTAGTGATCTTTATATTTATAATCAAGGCTGAGCATGAACATTGTGATTTTCACTTTGTGTAAAGACAACTGCACTTTGTATTTTGTCAGTTCAGCTTTTCACATGAAGAGTTCAGCACATTAAAATTTGTTAAGCCGTCATGTAGGAGTTCTGCTCTCCCTGGATAATGCTGTTGAAATAGGGAGAAATGTTTGTGGACATGTCACATTGCTTTGGCGATCTGTGTGTACATAATAAGCATGTGCTCTGTGCTAATATGAAGTGGCTGCATTCTAAGGACAGAGTGTCATGTGGTGTTTTGCACCTCCTATCAGAGTCAAAGAATTAGCAAGTTGCTTTGTCTCGTTACAGTACAACTCTCATTAGCGCTCATAAAATGCTGTAAATCAAGGAGACCTCGACTTTCAAAAGAACTTATGCTAATTTTCTGAACAAAAAGTTATGATCTTCCAGCAGTCCTGTGTAAGTTTACTGTGGCAGCCAATTTGTGTTATTATACAGTATATTCTGTTCTATTATGGCATATTTTTCAGTGGCATTATGTAGTAAGAGTCACAATACAGCAGTGTAAAAATACTGAAAGTCTTGTATTTAAAATGTAACTTAACATAGAAGTACTATTGGCTTTACTTAAAATATGAAAGGCAAAAATGTTTGCAAGTAGAAAAATGGCCTCTATCAGTGTTAAATTTGTTTATATATCCAAGTATTATAGTGACACAACGTATAAGTAGCATTTTTACGTTATAGTTGGTTGAGGTGAAATTTTTGAAGTAGGTGCTATGTACATGCAGCTAATTGTGTAACATGACTTTATATTTAAGTGTTCACTTGTTTTTAGAAGTACTAGAGTACAAATTTGTGGAACTTGTACTTAAGTACAGAGCTTAAGCAAATTTACTTTTGTTATTGTCCACCACTGCTGTTTGCAAATGATTCATAGTGTTTACTACAGCTCTACTATAATTCTTTATTTGTACAGGTTGTACTAAGTTTGCATTGTTATATCCCAGCTTACACATACATATGTTTCATATCTTTTGGATCCTTTAACATACATGAAGTAGTAGTCATGACTTTGTGTACTGTACGAGAAAGATTTTCTTACCTGGCCTATTTTGTCTTTGTTGGATTATTGCAGGAGGACATGAGAATCCACCAGGAAAATGAATAATGCATCTATCTTGCTCTCTTTTCTGAGCGGAGTCCCTGCAGTATCCATGAAAACAGCTACAGCAGTATAGTGAAGTCAAATTTGCTGGTAAGCAAGAAATTATTTTTTTTTCTATTTGTTCTATACTTTCAGCTTGACTTAAAATCCTGAGTTTGCATGTATAAATGGAAAGTAGTCAGGGTAATGGCCATTTCTCACATTTATTTGAATAAATTACATTGACTTATCACAGTTTTTCTTTACATCAAGCATACAGTCTTAGAATCCAGTGCAAGAAAAAAATAAAGCTTAAATAATCCAAAGACAGTCATGTGCAGCACAGACAATCCTTCCTTTCACATTGCTTCTGGATAATATACTGTATATATACACATCTATACTGTATGCGTATTCTTTTTCACAGTTACAAAAATAATATACAATACTGTAGATGCATACATAAGCGTATCGCATTCACTAAAGAAAACAAATTGGAGGATCTTGTAATTATAAGAAAACGGAGGCGTCGGAATGCTGCAGGACTTGACTGACAATTATGTTTTAAATTCTTTAGTTGCCATTGTTAACAGCTTACTTACTGTTCCAAACCATAAACAAATACAGGCTAAAAACAGGCCTCAAAGTCACTGCCTACAGTGTAACTCACTACTTATACATGGACTGGACAGGAGTTGGAAAGCTTCAGAACCTGCCTGAGAAACACTCTTAAAATTTCTTCAGAATGTACGTAATTCTGCCAACACATAGAACAGTATGTATCAAAGTGAACTGCTAATAGCTAATTCAATGTACTTTGTGTTTCAAGACGTACAGTAAACAAATATAGCCCAGGCTAAGGATCCAAATTGCAACCCACACAGTATCCACGGCAACATTACGCAGCCTACACTTCCTAATTCTTGTCAAAGTTTATATATGTTTGCATGAGCGATGATTATTAATGGCTAATGCTTACTCAGAATTACGAGATCTGGAAATCAGGATTTTGTAATAGGCTACAGTGTTTGCTATTTAAGAATACAGAGACATTATGGGCTACCTGTTGTAATTGTGTAGATCCTACAGGCAATTAGGTTATCTATATAATGAATATGAGCTTAAGTATCAGTTTTTTGCATAGTATTTTGGAAATTGTCACACTGAACATTACATTTTCAGTTATGTGAACAGATTATACTTTTACAAGAAGGAGCACATAGAATGTTGACATTGGCCTCTGAATTACTGTGGGCTGCAACTTGGACGTAAGTTGTAAGTGCCTTAGCAAGCTATTATAGTTAGCTAAGGCACCTGCAAACATATCAGGATGTTTGCTAACAAATATCAGGATCTGTTTCCCTGCTAATGCCACATGTTGTATCCACTTTGTCTTTTAAAAGCATCAGTTTTTTGTTCAGTAGCTTTAAAAACTTTAACTCTGGTTACTTTGACTTTGTAGTAGTGCATCCTGTCACACATCAGCTGTTCTTTTGTAAAAAGAACGGTCAAAAAGACACCTTCATCTTCAAGTAAATGTAGAGCGAAGAATTGTTCTCCTTCCTGTGTCCTGGCCTAGTTTTCAGAGTATGACGCCCTGCGCTCTGTCTCTATAGCGAGTTACACTGTAGGCCCTGTATTTGTTTACGGTTTGGAATGGTAAGTATTCCGACTTGGCTATTAACAGTTCAGTTTTGCTATGTCCTTTTGGATGCACTGACAACTATCACTGTTATTTTGATACTAAAGAAGCTCTGCAGCATTTCAACCCCTGCATTAGCTCATATTTTTAAGATGAGGATCTCTTAATTACAAGAGAAGATCTTAGTAATTATAAGACCCTGATCTCATGATTCTGAGATAAGAGCCTCCGGTTTTTTTCTTCTTTGGTGAACACAATGTACTTCCATAGATGCGCGATTATACACACAAGGTGAAAACAAAACACTGAAAAGCTGTACAGTCCTCACTGAGGGCAAAGATACACTGTTAAACAAAGAGAAAAAGTAAGAAGGAATCGTGTCACTTAAAAAAAAATTAAATACATGACCTCTTCAGATTATGTCACTATTCTTCCTTTAAAAGAAAGAAAAACACATAATATGGGTTATCAGTTGATTTTGCATAATTTAGTGCAATTCTAATCAATATAATGAATTTGATTTCAGATTAAACAGTTTTAATGTTGAACATTGTCAGGGACAGCATATGTTCAATACCTCAGCACCAGAGGTTGTCGGCAGCACCATCCCTGTGCATTACATATACAGTATGCAAACCCAGATGCGCTCCCTTTCCTCAAAATACACGCACAACATTACTACAAGATGGTGTAAAAATATTACTACTACACTGATTATTTTGCAGAAAAGTTAACACATTGTCAACATTGCCGAAAACAGCCCAAGTGTTCAGCTGGCTAAAACATGTAACAACTGAGGTCAGTCTGATTCTAGATCAGTTAAAGAAGGGAAACAAATCCCACACAACACTGCATACAAGCATATAGTGGGTCAGGGAAAATCAGACACCATGTATAAGATCTACTAATGTGAGGTCTGACATGACATGGAAAGGGGAAAGCAGCAGCCTTTTGTCTGTATTATCATGAAGAAAAAGGGTTTTTAGTGTAAGTTGCATCATTTCGGTTTCATCTCCACTGAGACAAACATATTTCTCATTCCACTTGTTCAGTCCTTTGTCTTTGTTAGAGAGGATCATTTTTGGCTATTTCTAGTTTTATCTTAATGGCTTATAGATGGCTAAACTACAGTACTCTGAGAAGACTAATCGCACTAGTAGGGATGCAGCAGGAGGGGCCTGCACCTGCTGCGGCAGAGAAAACAGTTGCCCCGATGAGCAGTTAGGTCCTGTAAGTTATTATATGTCAACATTTTTCCACAAGTTAACTTGTGCACCAGAGTTTAACAACACTTCAAACTGTTTAAACTTGTTTTTTTTGCAAATAAAGTCATCCCTTCACTAATCGCCGCTTCAAATACTTGGGGCTGCAGGCTTTGCCCTGTTGCATCAGACAGATTTACTGACAACTTACTGTTAGTTAATTCAGGGTTTTTTGGGTAACTTTGGTTTCTAAATCACACAGGACCCATCACGCACACATGTTGGCATGAACAACAAAATGCCATGGCTAAATTTAGACGTCAGCTAGGTGAATCTATCTACAGCTTTGTTGAAACTCCGAATAGTTAAAATGTGAGGATGCCCTTTGGACAGAGGTTTTAGGCACGACAGGGACCTGAGCATGCCAACAGATGACTCCAGTTAAAAAGAGAACTATTTAAAACTAAACTGAATCAGCTCATGTTTTTTTTAATAAGATAAAAGGTTAAACATTTGAGACCATGCGTGACCAAGGTTCCAAAAACCATGAAGCACACAGCCCAATTTTTTTTCCTAGTATGTGAGAGAAACTACTGTAAAGGCTCATGGCAGACTGACAGCCAACGTAAACTGAGACAAAAACAGGAATGGATAAATGACTATAGAAGGCTGCAGGTACGTCTTAGGAAAAGGGGAAGCAACGACATCAGTGGTGATTTTCCTTATTTAAGGTTTTTACACTCAGCGCATATGTGCTTTAATTCCTCATCAATTTTGTTTGTATGTTCATTCATTATTGTGTTGTTGCTGTTTTGACTCCTTTAAAGTAGAGTGCAGGTGGTTAGTAGGAATGTTTAGCAAAGGGTTACCAGGAATGCTTTTTTTGGCCGGGATTTTTTTTTCTCCACTGTTGTAGATGCAGCTGGTAGGCGTGACGTCCTAGTGTGACAGCGGCACCAGGATATCCACGTAGTTGATGGGAAAGAAGCCGGAGTTGCCATGCAGCATCCCCTCATACCAGTTTTCATCGATCTTATTGGTCAGGGTGATAATTTCGCCTTCCTTGAAGCCTAGCTCGCCTTCGTTCTCAGGGTCAAAATCGTACAGTGCACGACAGCAGGGCTGGTCCATAAAGGCTGGAGATACAAGAGGAGGACAGTTAGAAGAGAGGCTAAAAGTGGAGATTAGGTGCTGCATATAGGTTAGGGGTGTAATGATCACAAGAAAAGCTTGTGAAAAGCTCACCTGGAGACCTGCCTGAAAGGGAGAAAGAGAAGCAGCAGCAGACAGGAGAAGACAAAGCAAGTGAGACAAAAAACATGACAATTATAATTGAATTTGCAATGTTTAAAGGAATAGTTCAATAGTTCTCTTTCTGGTGGAGAGTTATACAAGAGGATTAAAAGACTGATACCACTCATATCTGTCAGCCAGCAGCTGGTTAGCTTAGCATGAAGACTGGAAATGGGGAAAACATAGCAATGTTGTGGACTGTCTGGGCCAGATACTCTTTTTTCTTATGTAAAACACTTCCAATAGAACATAAATCTTAACTTTTCTGTCACTTAACGAATTTTGTTTTTGTGTGTGGAAAGAAACTCCCACTACACCTTCAAAGTACCAAAGGGTGCTTTCCACACTCCAGCCTCTGGGGGAGCCGCGGTCAGCCCTTTATAGAATACTGTACCAGAATGAGGAGAGCAAGCCGCATAAGAAGGTTTACATGGTTGGATAAATAACACAAAGTTGAGATTTATATATTATGGGAAGTGTTTTCAAACTATATATTTTTTGGTTTTACAAAAGAAAAGGCCTCAGCGATGGAGACTAACTGGTTGTTTCCTCGTTTCTAGTCTTTATGGCTGCCTGTAGTGTCACATGTAGCATCTGGAAATTAGTCGTATCATTCTTCTTATTTAACTTCGACCAAATAAGCACATTTCCCAAAATGTCAGACAATTCCTTTAACATTAAAGCAAAGATGAACACTTTTTAAAAAGGAAACAAGGGGTTAGGCAGAAGCAGCACTGCAGATGAGCTGCAAACAAAAATGCAGACAAAACAGACACTTCCACAAAAGTTCATTTAAAGACAGATAAAATGAGTGACAGAGATTTTGCATCTCTTCCCAAGTCACTCTAGCTCACCTGGAGATCTTGCTGCAAGGGAAAAGGAGAAAACAAAGGTGGGAAAAGGACTTTTAGATAGAAAAGTTATGGATGAATGGATAAGTAGTTGGTACAGCAATGAATAAAGTAAGAAGAAATATAAGTTGGACAACACGGTGAAAGAGAAAGAGCAGCAGACAAAAACAGGAGGATAAGACCGATCAGAAGACTAAAAGAACACAACAGAAATAGCAAATGCTCATCTGCTGCTAAATTCTTAATTGTCAGTCTGGCATTCTTTACAGTGAGCGAACCGCACTTGTTTTTCTGATGATTGACTATCATTTGACTGCAATAATTTTCTAATTACAAAAAGATAAAAGACAGACAAAAGATGAAGTGATGGAAGCGATATAGGGGTATGTTTTGGGGATCTGTCTCTCACCTGGAGACCTGGCTGTGAAGAGAGAACAGGAAACAACATGAAGGAGGGGGACAGACAGCAGCAGAAGGGGTTTTGAGTTTTCAGTGTAAATGAAAGGATGTTGTTGAAGAAATCAACGTGATCGCACTGACGCAGACACATATGGACAGAAGAAAACGCACAAGTTTGACATGGCTCACCTGGAGACCTCGGCCCTAGAAGCACAACAGAAATCATAAGGGGAAAGAGAAGAGTGCAGAGTTGTACTCATTAGTTCTGGTGATGGATATTCTGTTCACTACAGGTCATAAACTGAAATGCTGAGAATAGAAAGATAAAATTATCAGAGACTATCAATTCTCAAATATCTTAATTTAATTTACTAACCCAGGACTGGCAGACTGACATTAACAGTGAGCAGAGGCAACTACTTGTTGGTTTTAAGCTATGACATTGTACTGTATGAGTGTGTACTGATATAAATATGCTGTTTAAATGTACAATGCAATGCTATATACTGTATCTACCACTCTTCTTCCTTTGTTGGCCTTTGTTAGTAAAGCCCCAGTAGCATCAGTATTATTTTTTACTTGAGGATTTATAGTCAAAATTAAAAACAGAGAAAGTTGATAAAGAAAATCATGAATTAATAAAAACTAGTCTAAAAACGATCCTATACTGCTGCACGTTTTACTGTCCTGTCGTTACATTACTTGAGAGACTCCCCACTGACAGATTACAGTGCACATAGTGCAATAGTGGGCTTTATATTCTGGGTCTCACCTGGAGAGCGAGCACTGTGGATGCCTCCATTGTGATTCTCACTGAGGGTGATGTCCAGAGATGTTCGTGGTTTAGGAACGAACTCTTTCCTCGGTTTGTTAGAAGCGTCCCTTATCCTGCAGAGTGTAGGACACAGAACTCATACATGCAGAAATAACAGAGGCCGACATTAACCATATTCTGTTGCTCTGGTAAAGAATAGTTCAAACATGTACTATCCTGAGAGCCACTGCATGATGTTATTTTAAGCACATCCATCAATAATGTACAAAAACGCAAAATGTGCCAGTACTGACCGTTCATCGATCTTACTGGAGAGCTGTGTGAGGATCTCAGTGGCCCGGCTGTGGTACTCCACCTGAGCATGGACCAGAGCAGCGAGCTGGCTCACCTGTTCAACCTATTGATACAAGTAGGAGAAGGCAGACTGTTACACACTGTTGCCATTATAGCTTGGGGTACACGAGTGATTAATTCATTCATTAATTATACTTTCAATTAAATATTATGACAATTCATTGTGAGAGATCTCTATCACCATATTCCAGAGCCCAAAGAGACATGTTGGGTTCGCATGGTGTGTCTGACCAACACTCAAAATAAAACAACTAAGCTAATGCTAAAAATGCTAATTTTTTGAGAAGGAATTATAACATTTACAACATGTTTGTATGTTACATGGGGGGAAAAAAAAAAGTAAATGTAATCATCAAAATGGTTGCTTATTTTTGGTGTTACACTAACCAATGGTTTGTTTTAGAAATAAACCAATTTAGATGTAGATGAAGTTGGATGGGTGGGACATTTACATTTACTGATGTTATAGAACACATTTCAGTATGTAAATAGTCAAAGCCAATTAACTGCCATGGTTTAAGGTGTACAAAAAGGTAATGGAAGTGGTTGTAGTTATATACATAAAGTTTGAGTTGTTAAACAGCTGAAACTGTTGAAGGACTCAAAATATCAGCTGCATCTAATGAACAACACAATTACTGTAATTAACATCAAGTAGCGAGACTCTCGATGGGGGAACCGGGACTACTTACATCACTCTCCAACAGGTTGAACATGCTCTGCTCCGCAATCTCCTTGGAGTCGTCGAATTTCTCGAGTGCTTGCTTGATCCCGTCCTCTGTCACTTTGCCCTGACGCTTCTTCTTATAATCAAAGTCCAGACGGCGACCCTCCAGTTTCTTTAGGTGATGCTGCAGTAGAAGACCACACAATAAATCAGAATCTTTCATCTGCACACAAGATTATTAGCCCCCCCCTGGGTTGAGTATCAAAGTTCTGCTCATCTACCTGGATCTCCTTGAGATCTTTCTCATGGAGGTTCTGCAGAGGATCAATGAAGTTCTGCTTGACCTCCATGTCCAGAGCATCTTTAACGTCTCCCAGCTCACGCATGGTTTCCCCAGCATCGATCAGAGCGAGGCCTGAAAAATAAATAAGACATTTAGATACTAAAACCTCAGGTATAAAACTCATCTCAGTGTTAGTCCATGGTGTAGAAAAGGGTTCATCTCCTGCAACACTATCATAAGGTATTTCTCTTCAGTGCTTTCATTCGTCAGCTAAATAAGAAAAACTTGACACATCTTGTCTGGAAAATAGGCTCATGCATTTTTCACAACGTTACTGTGTCCTTGAGGGAATAGAATTATGCCACTTTGTTCTAGTGAAGCCTATAAAGAAAGTGTTTGTGCTTCTCTTTCTGTGAGAAGCTTGAAGATGCTGCAGCTCACCGAAACTGGACTCCTCTCCGAGCTCCCTGCCAAACCTCTGCATGGACTCTCCCAGGATGGTCTCGGTCTGTGTGTAGCCCGGCCCCTTCTCCTGGCCCCGCATACGCGACATGGAATTCATCATGCTCATCTTGGCTCTGGTGGCTATAGAGACAAGGCATTAATGAAACGAAACACCTCTGGGCTGAATGACTGTGTCTGAAATTTCTAGTCTGATGACACAATGCCCGAGGCATCAAAGTGAACTCTATTAAAGGGTTTCACTGTTATTTGTTGCTTGCAGTTATTCTGGAGGTCATTTCATGTGACTGTTGTAGTAAAACATAAGACTATTCAGTTTCATCACCATGCAAAATTCAGAAGTTTTAAAAAAAAATGTATTTGAGTTCTGATTTTAACTCTTTAATTTTAACTTTAATCGGACCTTTTTAAAGTTATCTTTAAAAACTCAGAATTCTTTCTATTCAGAAGTGTTCCTAATATTCTGACCCTTTCATATATGTAGCTAGGAAGGACAAAAATATAGACACCTCTGAATAAAACATAGTCCAGTACAACACCAGCTTTAACTATGACCTCAATAATAAACATATCATTGAATTTATACATTTGACAATTTCACCAAAAACAAACATTTTGAGCTTCATGAAACCAGATGTTAAGGTGGACATGTTGAAGTGAAGTGCATACAGATGTACAGGTGTGACTTTTAAAGGGGCTGGTCAGTGTATATGACTATGTACAGTACATCTAAGTGACTGTCTGTAGTCATGTGTACACATACTTATACTTATGATATATATGTATGCTTGTGATAATATAGTATATTCTTCAAGATGGTTATTAGCTACGTATTTTAAGCATCGTCTCTTAGAAGGCTGGCCTTATGGCTCAGAGAGATCCAGGTAACCAAAACGGTCAGGCATAGCTGGTTTGTGTCACCTGGGTTTGGCTGCAGATACTCGGTGGTCTTGGTTATGATGTCCTGCACCGCCCGAGAGGTGGTGTCCACCCTCTGTAAACCAATGCATGGAAGGAGACAGAAGCAGAAGGCATACTGAAATAACAGTCAAGAAAAAGATATGTACAACAACAAAAACAAGTAATGGCTAAAAGACTGTATGAGAGAGATATAACAGCAATAATACAATGTATGGCTCTTTAAACCTGCCATCTAGCAGGGACAAAAATGGATAAAACAAAGTGTTGATTTGTTCTGCAGCTTGGTGGTGAGAGGGCGACATGCAGAACAGAGCCAGCATCACTTCTGTGTTTGTGTTTCAGTGTGATGAAACCAGCCAGCACCCAGCCTCTCTTACTGCGGCGCACGGTGGAGCCACCAACATACTAACACGCACGGCCACACGTTCAGTACACACATGCAGTGACATGAGGTGATCCTTAAAAAAAACATAAGCGCTCTTATGTACACATGGATTCTGTGGGAATATTTTAAATGATTTTAAAAAGTCAAGTTTACACACAAATCTTCATTTTCAGCTGTACCTTCACGCTAGGCCAGGTTTCCAGGCATACTGTAAAGCTGTTGCATCACAATGTGATGAGTGGGCGGCCACCAAGATAAACAGGCTGCCTTTTTTAGCCAACTCCTTTTGCCGCCTTTCAGTTTACATTCAACTTCAGCGTAATCATTTTTCTATGAGGTGCTGAATATTAGTGAAATGAGACATTATTATCCTCTTTCAGAAAGCTTTAAGTCCTTTAACATTTTGCAAAGAGACATGCTTCTTGTGGGGAAGTGTTAAAGGCAGGAATTTGAGTATTAAGATGAAAATTCAATGAAACAATCAAAAAATATCATGACTGAATGAGTTTCATAATGCGGGATAATGCTGCTGGGCCTTTTTCAGTTTTGATTTTCTATTAATCTGCCAGCAGTGGTCAAACATGTTGGGATAAATGGTTGTGTAAAAACTGCTCCTGCACAGATCTGTTGGGAACCTCACAATTCTTTGATTGACTGAGGTGATTAAATGTCTAATAATAATCTCTAGTGCTGTTTGTCATCGTCAAGATGATGATGGGAAATTGATTAGTCTCGCCTTTTCCATTTCAGTGAAGTCATCATCGAGCTTCGTTCCTTCAGCTCCTCCAACTTTCTCGCTCACTTTCTGCAAAACAAGGTGAAAAACAAGTGTTTTAGCTTTTATCATCCGGGTCCAGTGCAGTCATAACCAATTTAACAGTTGTCTCTACTGAGATGACATTTATTCGTGAAATGACATGAAAAATGACCTCAGTCAACAAGATTAAGATTTCTAAGAATCAGTTCTCAGACTGTTTTTCTTAATGGCTAAATCGAGATATTTATATTATATAATATTTGAAACTTGAAATTTGAAACACAGATCCATCTGTACGGACAAATACACAGAAATAACACTTCTGGGCTCCCGTCCCCTTGGTCTGCTGATAATATTTACCAGCACCCGGCTCCAGTCTGTCATGTCACCAGATGCCTGCAGGGGGCAGCAAACTGACACAATGAGGACAGACACAGCCCTCAGAGGAAGAACTGAGGGAGGGTAAACTGGCTTTCAGGTAACATCACAATGCATGATTAAAGAAACTAAAACCTGAGGCCACTGGATGAAGCCTTTTGTTGAATTAAAGGGGAAAAAAATATCACACTGTACATGTACTTACACAAATTGAGTGAATTTAACATTTTTGGTTTTTGAATACTCATCTTTGGCATTGATGTAGTCAAAGAAAATTCAAAGGTCCTAAAAGAGTGAAGTACCTGGAATTAAATGAGTAAAAAAATTAGTATTTTTCCAAGGGTAAAACACTGAGGGGTGATCTGTGATGGGGGGTTATAAGACTAAGCCAGCCTGTAACAGCAGTTTCTTCAGTGAAAGACTGAGGATTGGTGCTCTGAGTCATCTTAGCCACGTCTCTCCTGATCCCACCAGTATTTTAGCATTCAAACACACACACACACACACACACACACAGAAGAAGTCTACAACTAACCACATTTCCTGTCATTAGCTTCACCTACACATCACTGTAATATCTTCAAATTCTCCTTGAGCTTGTTGCCATGGAGACAGGTACCTGCCCATGCCTGACTTATCAGGTATATTAGTGTGAATGTTTCTGCATCTAAAACTTCCTATTTGTTTCACTACTTAACTGGGTTACATGGCATCATCACTTCTTGGGAGACAATGCTGCTAAAATAGAGGTGTGGCTGTTTAGGTATCATACTATATGTGCATTCACGCCACAGCTGTGCCAAAGCAAGTGATGGATGTAGTGACAGTGCTCATCCAAGCTGCCAAATAACATACTGTAAAGGTTTACACCTGGGAAGCAATGTGAAGTCAGTTACTACCCGGTTTCAGATGTGTACGTGATGTGAATGCACAGAACTGTTTTATTTTATAACACTGATTCATAATATTAAATATTAATGGGCCGGCTGAGCTACACACATTTCAACCTGACAAAGACGAGGATAACACCAAAGAGAGAATGTGAGTGATTCTTTGTGACAGTGGGGGATTTAAACTTGTCGGCAGATGCTGTCAACTCATGGTATAAAGTACAGTGGAGTGAATGGCTGCGTATAATGATGCAGTCACTGTTTTGCTGTTTCTACAGAATAGTGCCAATTATTCTTCGTCTACAGAGAGAACTAGGTTGATCCAAGATGACGATTAGTGTTCACACCAGGTTTGGCGGTCTCAAGAAGAGCTTCAAGATAACGGAGATATATAAAACCGAACAATTCCTTTTACACAGGGTTTTAGAAATCCGGTGTGCTTTTTCTTTTACTCTATAATCTTGCATTTAAACTCGAACTGACAGAAGGGTTACACCCGTACCTCAACTAACACTGTCTGCTCTAAACCAGCAGCCTGGAGAGTGTGCACATGAAGCATTTGAAGACACCCCATTTCCCCACAACAATGATAAATTTGAGGCTAAAAATTGATCAGCTGTGCTACAAAATCCTTATAAACATAACGTTTACAATTTGGGGTTGCAACTAACAGTTATTTTTGATTAATCTGATTGTTTTCTTGCCTCTTGCCAATCAGCTGGGATTGGATCCAGCCCTCTGGTGACCGTCTTCAAGATAAGCAGTATAGATAATGGATGGATGGATGATTGTTTTCTTAATTAAACAGGTAATCCTTTGGTCTATAAGATCGTGAAACAGTTAAGAAAAAAAAAAAATTCACAACCCCAGTTGATGTCAGTAAATTGCTCGTCTTATCCAACCAACAGTCCAAATCCTAAGATATTCAGTTTATGATCACATACTGTACAATGCATGGCTATTTCCCCCACCACTGACGCTACATCCTGATCACCTACATTCATTAAATAGTAGAGGAATGATGACTGGACAAATTTCAGGTTTACAAATCTGATCTCTGACTGAAGCAAAAAGCAGCTGTACTTTTAGGAACCAGGAATGAAGACTGCTGTAGTGATGCAGAACGACTCAGCTCACACATTATTCAAAGCTCTAAATTCAACAGCCTATATGTGTCTCATACCCATGATTCCTTTGGCTTAGGGACAAAAAGCGGCTAGAGAGTCGACAGCTATATTTTGAGCTAAATGCATGAAAAACAGATCGGCTGAGCTTTGCCGTTGGGGACATGCTTATAGCTTGACAGAAGAAGAGCAACTAGATGAATAAAAATTAGCTGTTGGGAGTTGTTTTCAGTTAAGTGGAGCATTGCTGCTGTGTATGTTTGCTGTCAATGCACGTCAACCCCATGACACCAGCGAAGTGGAGAGCAAAGACAGAACCAGTGTTGAGCTTGGATGGCTGCAAGCTGATAACACAGTTTAGGACAGTGATGGAAGAGAGATGCATGAACACAGGCACATACAGTGAGGAACAGAAGTATTTGAACACCCTGCGATTTTGCAAGTTCTCCCATTTAGAAATCATGGAGGGGTCTGAAATTCACATTGTAGGTGCATTCCCACTCTGAGAGACAGAATAAAAAAAAAATTCAGGAAATCACATTGTATGATTTTTAAAGAATTTATTTGTCTTGCACTGCTGAACATAAGTATTTGAACACCTGAGAAAATCAGTGTTAATATTTGGTACAGAAACCTTTGTTTGCAATTACAGAGGTCAAACGTTTCCTGTAGTTCTTGACCAGGAAAAGTTTGGTGGTGTGTGTGTGTGTGTGTGTGTGTGTGTGTGTGTGTGTGTGTGTGCGCTGGCACTGGCTTGCCGACCCACTGTCTCCATCTGTGGTTAACTGAGCTCTCTTTAGCAGAGAACATCTCCTCTCCCTTTTCTCCTCTTCTTCCATCAATAGAGTCTTTGTCAGTGTTGTTCTTCATCATTTATGCATTAATGCAACATGACATAAAAGGAAATAATGTCCTTAAAAATAAAAAATGTGGGCTAGTATTTTCAAAGTGATTTGAATTTAGAGTAGTGCTTGAAGCTTTTATTTGGTGGAGAGGAGTAAAATCCTGTGATGATCCTTCATAATGTAGCTGGGTGGCTGTAGTTGTTTCATCATGAGAACAATCATGAGAATAATTTAAGGGTATTGACAGATGGTCATTTTTTATGGCATACTCCTGAATCACTTCATCATCACTATGGAAACTGTGTGTGTGCTCCTTTAATTTGAGTGAACTGAGCTGAAGGTCCCACAGATTTGTTATATTAAACTGTAATCTTCAATCATCTCTAATTTATTGGATCCCCAGCTGCTTCTCTTGCTGCCCCCATCCTTTGAGTGTCTTTGCTTGTGCATGAGTTCGCATATACATATGTATGCCATATATGCATGTGTGTCCCCCAAAGCAATAAAGTCTTTCATTTTTTTATATCTCCATCTCCCATATTCCCACCCACACATAATTGAACAGCACTGCAGCCTGTGAATATTGTGTTAGAGAGACACCCGCTGGTAGGTGTAGGGAGTGCGCTTCACATGTTACCTACTGAACATAGAAGCCCTACCCATTAAGGAGCTCAGACAGGTGCTACTAATTTAGATTAATGAGTGGAGTAGAGGTGGACTTTTTCAAGGCACAGTAACAGGTCTTTGAGAGCCAGAATTCTTGCTGTTTCTCAGGTGTTCAAATACTTATGTTCAGCAGTGCAAGACAAATAAATTCTTTAAAAATCATACAATGTGATTTCCTGAATTTTTTTTTTAATTCTGTCTCTCAGAGTGGGAATGCACCTACAATGTGAATTTCAGACCCCTCCATGATTTCTAAGTGGGAGAACTTGCAAAATCGCAGGGTGTTCAAATACTTCTGTTCTTCACTGTACACACACTCGGAGACACAAAGACTACAGTATGTAACATATCACAGCCATTACCCACCAGGCTGATGATGGATAAGCGACTCCCAGTGACTTTCTACACAACACAGTATGCAACTGTAACCCAAGCTACTGACGACCATAAAACCAGCTATCTAAAATGTCCTGGGGAGCCAACAATGTCACTGTGCTTTCACACATCACTGATACCCTCATCTGTCCCTGGCTCAACAACACACTTGCCTTTGTCCACTTTCTCTCAGCCCTCACCCGAGGCTGACAGAATTGTCAATAGTTGCAGATATTTGGTCAGAAACCACTGAACAATATATATTTGTCTCCTGATGATGGTGCTCGACAAAAAAGTCACCAAAGAATTTGAAATTGATCCTGAGAGGTCATGAATGTTTGTAACAAATTTCATGGCAATACATTCAGTAGTTGTTGAAATATTTCAGTCACACTGTGAGCATGGCTAAAAAAGAACCTGGAACTGCTAAACTAACTACAAACCAACACAATGAAAACCTCCAGGTTGGTTCATATAAAGCCTTTGATCCTTCTCTGCGCTCAATTCTTCTCCACCTGGCAGCCAGGTAAACCGCATCAGACCACATAAACATGCTAAATAGTGAGAATAAAATAACCCAGGGATCTCGCCAATGGCTGCAGGGCGTCCTCCCTCCCTCCTAGTCTCAAAATCTCTTAAATGATCACAAGGGTCAGACAGCAGAGTGTGTCATGAGCTGCTCTCACAGGGAATCTTTTAAGAGCACATCAGCATCTGTGGGGCCTCAGGTGTCCTCAAAAACAAGATGCAGTAGACAAAGCACATTGTCA